TCCCATCGAATTCCTGTGGCTTTCTTCGTACTAGATCACCCCTATTGCCAATAATCATATCTGGAATGTGATTTCTGGTAGGACTGAAGATGTCTGCATTAGTGTTTAGCTACAGGGTCTGGAAGGGGCTTCCTGTTGTCCTGGCTGATTAGGTCCATGGCTAATATATCCTCCCGGTGTAAAAGATAGTAAATCGTCCTTTAATGTATTTAATTCACTTTGAAATTCACTGATCTTTTCATTTTTACTTCATGCTGATGTTGTAATCTCTCTCCTTGTTCTTCTTGCCACTGTTGCTGACTTTCCTGTAGTTGCTGATGACTTTCACGCAACTGTTGGAGACTTCCTTCCTGTTTCTTTTCTCGTTCTTTTTGTTTCCTTTCTTGTTCCAGTTGCCACAGGTGCTGGTTTTCTTGCCACTGCTGTACTCTCTCTTCTTATTTATTTGCTTTCTCATCCAACCACTGCTGTAGTCTCTCTTTTTGTTTATTTTCTTTCTCCTCCAACCACTGCTGTAGTCTCTCTTCTTGTTTATTTTGCTGTTATTGTATTGCTGCCATCAAATCTGCTAAGTTGTAGTTTGATTTGCCACTTCTCGTTTCCATCTTTTTTTTCCTTTTCCATCCCACTCTCTGACACCAGTTTGTTACGTATCTGTTTGTTTGTTTGTTTCTGGTAGAAATTCTTTCCGGCGATCTTCAGCGATACAAGTCCTTTCTTGATTAAACCAGCTTATTCTTCCTCAATACAAACTTTTAGTATCACGGTAGTTCCACAATCAGTACATTTCTCGTCACTTTAAACTTAACAACTTTTATAATACACGCTATAAATCACAGCAATTCACAATCTGGATAACTTCACTCTCGATGAGTGCAAAACACATACTTTACTAGCTCGAAACTAACAGAATCATAAATTACACAGAACTCAAAGTAACTACTGCTCTCTCTTCATTTATTTCTGCTGGCTTTCCCTGCCAGGCTTATATACTAACGAAGAGGGCATCTCGGACACACTCGGACTTCCCGGATCATTCGAGAAACTCATCACGCACACCACCAGCGTCACGTGACTTCCACTGTCGTAACAGTACCAAACATGTAAATTGTTATATAAATTTGAAAATGACTATTGCTCCAAAAGTGTATGAAAAGTAGGTTAACCAAACCAATATGTTTTCGATTAAGATACTTATATTAAAAAGGTGATATAAGGCATGAAAAAAAACTACATTGTCACATATTATAAACCACGACTAGGAAGAATGGGGTTATTTATGGTCAATGAATAAGTTTATAATATTGTATGAAATATATATATATATATATATACTTTCAACATATTTCTGGAGAATTTGTAACCATAAACATCAATAACGGAAAAAACAGAGAGAGCTTTTCATCGCATATTTTTACGATTGAGCTAAAACTGAAATACTAAAATCTATATAAATAATACTCTTGCGTTTGTCTGTCCGGAACTTTTATCGCAAATGTCTCAATCAAATGATACAAATTTCATACCAATAGAAAAGCCTATGTCCGAGGCGTCCGGATTGCATATTGGTTTTTCAATTCAAAATAACCTTACCTGTTTATTGCTTAGTCAAACTTTTCAATGCAATGAGTATGGTACACGGTGGCACAATGTTGTTGTCATCACGTGACGATTGGCTTCAGTTTCAACTTTATTTTTTTATTTCCAAAGTATTTCACACAAACAACACTTAACCCAAATTTAATTTCCTAAAATAAAAATGAACTTTACACTAAAGACAATTTCTATGGGCTTTCTAGACTTATTTAGGTCTAAAATAAGCATGCTCAGTTCGTTCAAAACCATATGCCTATAACTTTGTGAACATGCATTCAAACATTTCTACATATTCAGCTAAGTTTTCATTCATTACAACTTTCCATTTACTTTACTTTGCAATAATTTAGTTTCGGTTTGTTTCATAGCCTGCTATAAACATGTTTTAGCTACCATTTTCTTTATTACGGATTTTAAGTTTCTTTGTTTCTACTCCTAAAACCGTATCATACACTGAACGTCATAACTGTTCAATACTCAGTACACTATTATAAATACCATCAATATACTTTATTGTTTAATTTATGTATAGTTTTATTAAATAAAGTGACGCCTACATGAGTTTGTTTGTCTGACTGCAAAAATTTGTTTCAAATAAACCAGAATTTGTGGACGTAACACACACATAAAGCTTGCTAAAAAGTGTAGCTTTAATGCCGTGATTGAAAATGATAGAATACGGAACATTTAAACAAAGAGCATGAAAATTACTGCAAAGGTTTTGCGGGTCGGGCTAGTTTGAAAATAATATACTTAAGTAAATTTTAGAAGAAAAGAGAAAAACCTAAGTATGTCACAATGAATAATACCTGTATTAGAGTTTATAATCCAAGTCTGTTCAGCCAACTTAGAAATGTTTTTACAAGTTATCAGAGTTTAAGTTATGATCGTGTATTTTTTCCTACCCCTTTGCTATTTCAAAGTAATATTAATTTCGTAAAAAAAATGCATATCAGGCCCATATGCAGAATGTTTGAAAGGGGGGGGGGTCTAATATGTGACATCAAAAATAGCCAACACATATTGTGCCAAGCACAATAGCATGCAAAGCATGCTAATGCTGGGTCTGGGGGCATGTCCCCCCAGAAAATAAAAAAAAAGATGCTATGTGATTAAATCTGGAAGCAGTTTTGCATAAATATATAGCTTAAACAATTGTATGGCTGTTCACATAAAATCCACAAAATCTACTGAAGAGTCAACAAATCATCGTTATGTTGTGACACTGCATAAGGAGCTAGACTTAAATTAGCATAAATTGTAGTTTTATTATAATAAAGTATTATACTATCTACATACAAAGTAATTATTAACTGTAAGATTATATTACTAATTTTAAACAACTCTGTACAACAATAGTAAATCTCAAACCCATAATCTCTTTATATTTATATTTCCGTGACACGACGAAGCTTGTTTGTGCTTGTAACCATATGTAGCAGTTAGATATACACGACTGTTTCTGTTTAAGGTTAATGGGAGTGTTATGTTTCAGATAGTTGATATATCACGGGTGTCATATTTAGTTATTTTTAGAAGCGAGAGTTTATGACAAGTGTCTTTATGTAATTGTTTGCCAATCATACATTTTCTAGCGTTTACGTTCAATTGTTTTGAGCTAGCGATTGTTATGTTGTTGAGTCATGTTACTAGAACTTTTTGAGTTTTTCTCGTTGTTTTAATTGAGTATTATTGCATCAGAATATCTAGTATTGCGTAGAATGTTCTAGACTTCTGTCGGGGTATAAATAAACATCAAAATATTGTTGTTTAGATCTAGACTGCGTAATTGTGAGTTTAGGGATAAAGAGCGTATAGTGGTGATTTTTATAGTAAAATTATCACAGAGTGTATTGTAATAACAGAGCAGGAAAGAACAATTCTTCTAGTCAATTGTGTTCTAAAGTAATTGAACCAAACTGTGTGGACTTTAGACGTAAAATAAAATTATCTAAAGCTCTGGATACAACTATGGTAATGCACGGGGTAACGTAAGTGAATTTATCACTGATTGTATTAGAATAACAGAGTAAAGGAGAATAATTTGTCTTGTAAATTGTGTTATAAAGTAATTGACCCCGACTGTGTGGACTTTGACGAAAAAGAGACAATTATTTAAAGCTATGGATACAATTGTGATAACCAACAGTGCAACGAACATTTGTATACGTGTTTGACTTGTTTTAATATGTTATTATAAAACAAGTGGACTGTGTTGATGTTTGTTTATTGTTGAAATTTATCGCCAACAACTCACAGACACCTACTATAAAGAATCCGGCCTACAAAACCTGATAGTAGCAATACGGCTTCGGCCTTCCAATAATAACGTGTCAACAGAAGTCATTGCATGCGACGATTTCAAACCAAAAAAATCTTAATGCTTCACCAGAAGAATTTAGACTATGTGGAAAACGTTAAATACCATAAGCAGCTGTGCTATAACCGTTTAAGCATATTTTTTTACATCACAAGAATAGATGGTTCAGCTGAGTCCCCCTCCACTCCCTGCATACGTTCGTGAATATCAGTAATTGTATGTTTCATATATTATTCTTACTACAATCTTTATACAAGATCATAAATTTTGACTTGCATAGTTGAGTTTCTTCTCAAAACAATTTTACGCATTCTAATAGACGGTTATTAAAACTTCACATTACCACTTAGACAGTTTAAGCATATATATACCTGTCTGCTACATTCAGTGACAACGACATCCGAGCCTATATATTTCATCACACTGATTAACATAGCCCTTTATTTTCCTGAAGAAGAATAGTCAACTGTTCGAAAGCGCTCGAGTTTTGGGTCTCTCGTTTTGAAAATGCTACATTCAGAGATAATATAGATTTCAAAAGATCCAGAAATAGTTGATAATTATTATTATTATTCAGAAGTGAACAAGAAACATATTAACTCAGGTATATCCAGATGCATTCCTGACAGCATAATAATGAAGAACATTACACGAATGTTAGAAATCTGAAACTGCTAGTTCTTACTACGAAGTTTATTTAAAATTAATGACAGCGTCAGTAGAGCGACATATGTTTTCAATATGAATAATCAAAATGATAGTTATTCATCCTGTTTGTAAAATTCACTGATAATTTAATGTTGAGCAAAGAAATTGTTCATTTATTTTACGTAAGAGATTTAGAAATCTATCAAATCATACTTTAGTTCATGCTACTTGCATCATATATATATATATATATATGAGATTAGAATAAAAACTCGATCTAAATGAATTTTATATTTATATTTAAACTTTATTTTTCTCTATATATTTTAGTTAGTTTTGTGTTGTAAATCGACATTAGATTTTTCTGAAACTGTCTCAGCGTTAAAATATTAGTTCTGAAAAGAGTACATACTAATATATTTTTCTTATGTTTCAGTAATAACCAGCACCTTGTTATAAAAGTGAAGAAAGTGAACCCAATGCGAAAGATATAAGCTCACTATAATATTATACGAATAAATAAAAATAACATTTTTGAAATATGTCTCTTCTTTCTATTTAAACATTCAATATTTTTAAGTACATACTTATGTTAACGGTAGAAAACTTACAAAACGATGACATGGATTCTGTAGAACATCTCTTATTAACTCCATTCAAATCAAGAAAATAATGAAAAATTGATTGGCGTTGTTTATTAAAGATAATAAATGACCGTGCCAAATATATTTTCATTCAAAACTTTTAAGCTAAATTAGTGCAGTAAACCTGTGCACGAGCAAATATATTTATATCAAGATTGTTTCTTTGGCCAACAAACATCAAAAACATTCCATACATTATCTGCAATACTGTATGAATGAGAGTAATGAACATTAAAGCTTAACACGTTTTTGTTTTTGATCAGAGAATGAAGACTAGAATTATCATGTTCATGAACACAGATATATATGGTATCACATTATCATTTTTTCATTCAAAAAATAAATTTTGTGGTAAACTTATATTATGCAAATGAACTGATACATTCAAAATTTTGGAAAATCTTCAGTTTCTGAAAAGAAATCCTATACAAAGACGTTTCAGTTGCCTGAAAGAAGGTGATTTTTTTCCCAGAAGTTTGAGAAATACTTGGGTTCTCTTGTAATATCTACTGAATCAATGTCTTTTATTTATCTCCCCCAGTGGCACAGCGGTATGTCTGCGGACTTACAATGCTAGAAATCGGGTTTCGATATCCGTGGTGGGCAGAGTGCAGATAGCCCATTGTGTAGCTTTGTGCTTAATTACAGAATAAACAAACAATTTTATTTATATTTTAATTCCTACTAACCCCCCCCCCAAAAAAAAAAATTATATACAAGACTGTTCAGTTTAAGAGTTATTATTTAGTGATTTAATATTTAATGATCATTTACTTTTCATAACAAGACCATTAAATTTAATTATTTTAAAAGCAATAGTTATGGCAGGTTTCATTACGTAATTCAGTAGAAGTCGTTCATTGTTAAATGTAGTTTGATTGCTGTATTAGGCTTCTGTAATATTGTTGACGTCATCTTACTCGAGGCTTCTAATTTTTCTGTCGTGTGTTATAAATACATGCAGGTACAGAGAGGAAAAGTAAGCAAGTTAGTGAAAGTAAAAGTGAAGTTAAACTGCATGATTGTCAGTTTAGCTGTAACGAGCAATTTCTAAAGTGAAAGTTTCACAGTTTGTATTGTAACAAGAAAAGGATAATTCGTCTTGTCATTTGAGTTCTAAAGTAACTGAACCGCCTGTATGGACTTTGACAAAAACAGAATTATCTACAGCTCTAGATCCTACAGTGTAAATATTTTTTTTGTACATACGTTTGATTTGTTTTGAATACTTCATTTTAAAACAAGTGAATTGTGTGCTGTCTATCTATTGTTGACATTTATTGCCATCAAGTCACAAACACCTATTGTAAAGAATCCCGCGCCCCTATAAAAGCCTGACATTAATTTACTTTTGCAATCAAGCACTCAGTGCAGTACTAGTCACGTCATGAAACTATAAGTTCTGATTTCCTAGGTACTATAAGCCATGGCAGTATATTTCAGTTATGATGTTGGATGTCATTTGGGTAGATAGACAATCAGAACTGGTAGGATACAACGGGATAGTCACTGCTGCTTGATACTTCACAGTTCTCAAGTAAGGACTTCTACCTGCCTATATCAATGATTAGCTTACCACTAAACGTGTCGTGCATGTTGAAATCTAATTACAATGGAGGGCACTGTTTCCACTTAAGCATGGTTTTAGAAGTTGAAGTCTACTTACAGTGGAGGACTCTACGTCCACTTAAACGTGTCATGAATGTTGAGGTCTTACAGTGGAGGGTTCTGTGTCCACTTAAACGTGTCTTAAATGTTGAGGTCTACTTGCAGTGGAAGGTTCTGTGTCCACTTGAACGTGTCGTGAATGTTGGAGTTTACTTACAGTGTAAGTTCCTGTGTCCATGTAAACGTATCTTGAAAGTTTAAATCTACTTACAGTGAAGGGTTTGTAAAAAGTTTCAGGATACATGGTCTGAAAATCTGATCTTGCTGCTATTTTTCACGGAAACTTACTATAACGAAATTTTAGTGTCGAGCATTGGTGTATGTTCATGGCCATTAATAATGGATGAAGTGGATACAAGGACAGTGCAAGGATTGAAACGTCATATTTATAAAGTGCAGATAATCCTCAGTGGAGATTTACTTGAAATACGATTATTTACCAGATATAAATTGTGTTGTATATAATAACAACCTTGGAAAAACATCTGTCTTTTAGGTAAACAACTGCAATGAAACATAACATTATACTTTTAACTGGCCCAAATGGTTTTCCAATAAAAAAAATAGATAACACAATTTAATTTTTATTTTGTATTTGCATAATCGGTAGCATGCGGCAAGTCATGTTATAATACTAAAACAGTGTAGGCTAAAACACCATGTAAAACAAATATGTTTGAATTATTAAGAGGGTGTGATGTACCACAGTGTTTTATAATGCATCTCTTCACAGCTATTCTTCAAGGAAAAAGAACTAGCAGTTTATTTATAGAAACAAATTCTTGTTAACTGATAATTTGCGAAAACCAGAATGGCATTTTTATTCCATAAACATATATCAGTAAAAATAAAAACGTATCTAAAAACAATAAAACCAAAAAATCAGGTACTACTTCCAGATTTTGTAATCCGTTAAACGTCTAAGCTCAACTATTTACCTTCGGCTGAAGGTAATTAGTAATGCTGCTATCAGGTGTTTTGAAATGTTGACATGAAAGTCTCCAAGTAACTACGTCTGCTTTTCTATAATATCATTACAAACTAAACTGGTGTCTTTAGAGGTGTGGTTTAACGGATTTTTCCACGTCATAAAAAGGTTGTAAAAGTCATAACAGGCATAATGCATGATACAGTTTATTCACAAAATATTATAGCATTATTAGGAAGCATTGCAAAACGTCAATAAAATTACTGAACAACTTATAACATTACTAGGAACAATTACAGAACGTCAAGTAAATTACTGAACAACTAATGACATAATTAGTAAGCATTACAGAACGCCAAGAAAATTACTGAATAACTAATAGTATTATTAGGAAGTATTACAGAACGTCAAGAAAATTACTGAACAAACTAAAGACATTTTAGGAAGCATTAGAGCACGTCAAGAAAACTACTAAACAACTAATAGATTATTAGGAAGCGTTACAGAACGTCAAGAAAACTACTAAACAACTAATAGATTATTAGGAAGCATTAGAGCACGTCAAGAAAACTACTAAACAACTAATAGATTATTAGGAAGCGTTACAGAACGTCTAGAAAACTACTAAACAACTAATAGATTATTAGGAAGCGTTACAGAACGTCAAGAAAATTACTGAACAACTAATAGACTATTAGGAAGTATTACAGAACGTCAAGAAAATTACTGAACATCTAATAGATTATTAGGAAGTATTACAGAGGTATTTTTTCCAATCACCAATGATCGCTGAGTTAATCTAATAAAGTATTTTTTAATGTTTTTATAGATTAGTTGGTTTGCTGAATTTCGCGCAAACCTACTCGAGGAGGCGTCGCACTACTTATGAAACGCCAATGTCAAAGTGTAGTTCTGATACATCCGTTCCACCGATATTTTATATCAGGAGTCACGGGACTTACTGATTTGCATATTCAAAATTATTCTAATATATTGTAATCAACCTTGTATGTTCATCTATCTATTTATAGCTATCTACCAAGGTAAAAGGACTATTTTATCTGAGTCAAACGAATTTTAGAATATCTTGAAACATTGGAACATATCTACATCAAACCCATTGTATGTAATATATGTGTTTTCATTTGTTGTTAAAAATAATAATATTTGTTTAAATAAAAGTGTTTAGCAAATTAATTAATAAAAAACCAAGTTGATCAACAGAAACACAACACCAATTAACAAACCTCAATATATCACCTTGTTACAGCTGATGGAAATAACTATCAATCACTCAACAGTTATTCTTGTTTTAATATACAGTTAAAAACAATTTTCATCTATTTTACAAGTAGCTAAATGAAACTATCAAGTTATTAACATAAGTTAAGTCTAATTTCCTATTGAAGTAAAACCTTAAAACAAAAAACACTGAATATGTAACGGATTTCTCACATTAGTCTGGTAACGAAATGGCTTTTCTCGGAACCTAAAAATAGCGTTCAGGAAACATTTTTTTTTAAAAATAGATGTGTAGATTATGCATTTTTTAGAAGTGCTGATTAAGAATACAAGGTGTTCAAATATGGCGTACTTGAGAATGTTAAAATATTCTAGACTGCTGCCAAGAACAGAAATACCAATATATTTGCTTGTAATTCACATCCAGAAATTAACTTGTGCTTTGGCCTTATGTCTTTTGGGTCAATGAATTTTGTGTTGTCTTTTATTCAATCAGGTAAGTGTATGTCGTTCCCTAAAGACATTAATTCAATAAAGTATTCTGTTTGGAACACCTATTATTATTTTTTTAAAGATTACTGAGAATTGCCAGTTTTGAGTGAGAATTAGCTTTTTTCAAGTTTGTTGTCCCAGCAGAGACCACTAATGTTCAATATTTTTCAATAATAGATAAATGTTCTTTACGTGTAGTCTAAGTAGAAAAACATTAAATATAGCTGGTGCAGCTCGTGTGAAAAAATTCATCCAGCCCAGTAAAACACGTTCAGATGAGTTGCACACTGCCCTATAAAGCCGAATGAATCTATATGAAAACCTACAATCAAATCTTTGTTTCGTTCTATCCGACAAGTTTTCATGTCTGGTCGTACGTGAAAAAGTATGACGTAGACGTTGCATGATCAGCAAGTAAACCACCCCTTGTCTTTTTTGTTGGGAAAGATGAATAATTCACCCAGATCGTTGGCGAAGAGTCTATTTGTGAAGAAGGACTGATCTTTATAGAAGTAATTATAAACGCTTGTGACAGCCATAACGATAATTGGGTGAGAGGACTCCGAGCAAGGATACAGGGAGCAAGTACTGACCTTCACATCGCTAACGGACAGTATCAAAAGGATTATAGAGGGCGAAATAACTCCAAGTGTGGATACAGGGAACAATTATTGAACAACACGCCGCTTATGGATGGTATCACAAGGACTGTAAAAGGCAAATAACTCCGAGTGTGGATATAGTAGGCAATTACTGACCAACATGCTGCTAATGGATGGTATCACAAGGACTGTAAAAGGCAAATAACTCCGAGTGTGGATATAGTGGGCAATTACTGACCAACATGCTGCTAATGGATGGTATCACAAGGACTGTAAAAGGCAAATAACTCCGAGTGTGGATATAGTGGGCAATTACTGATCAACATGCTGCTAATGGATGGTATCACAAGGACTGTAAAAGGCAAATAACTCCGAGTGTGGATATAGTGGGCAATTACTGATCAACATGCTGCTAATGGATGGTATCACAAGGATGTAAAAGGCAAATAACTCCGAGTGTGGATATAGTGGGCTATTACTGATCAACATGCTGCTAATGGATGGTATCACAAGGATTGTAAAAGGCGAAATAACTCCGAGTGTTGATATAGTGGGCAATTACTGACCAACATGCTGCTTATGGATGGTATCACAAGGATTGTATAAACATGCCATAAAAACGGCAGCAGCAGTTGGTGTTGATCAACTGAATAACAGAGATCTTTCATTTCACATTGTAATACACATAATGAAATCGGATGAGTCAAAGACTTAAACATAAATAGTGATTTTCAATTTGTAACAAGTGTATGTTGGAAATACACTCACACGCTATTCCTAGTACAAAAGCTGTCAGATTTTTTGACAACGGTTTCATATCCTCTACAGGGCTAACCAGTTTTTCGTACTACTGCTTCTAGTGTTCTTAGAGTAGTCGAGGATGAAGACACCTCAATCTGAAATGCTTCATAGCAAGTATTAAAAGCATCTGCGGATTTGGCATCATCAAAATCTGTGTGCAAGACAAGATCGTCGTTTCAGTTGTAGTAAAAGATGTGGTGACCATTTTGTCACCGTTCAGACCACCATATTTGATTTTTGCAGGTTGTTGTCAGCAATCAGGTTGAACTTAATGCTGAAGGATAGCCTAGATCCGTTACACAAATATAAAGCACCGTGTTGTTGTCAGCAACCAGGTTGAACTTAAAGCTGAAGGATAGTCTGGATCCGTTACAAAAATATAAAACACCAGGTTGTTGTCAGCAATCAAGTTGAACTTAAAGCTGAAGGATAGTCTAGATCCGTTACACAAATATAAAACACCAGGTTGTTGTCAGCAATCAAGTTGAACTTAATGCTGAAGAATAGTCTAGATCCGTTACACAAATATAAGACACCAGGTTGTTGTTAGCAATCAGGTTGAACTTAATGCTTCATAGCAATAAAATGTATAAAAGATTCAAACATTCACTGAACTGTGGTTGGGAACGGATTTTTTGAAATTAAATCGACGGATTTTTTTTTCAAAATGAAATTGATATGTCACTGCAGAACTGGTTTTACGAAAGTTCCAATAAGCCTGCTCTGAGCACCTTTCCGAGTTTTAGACTCCTAGCGTGTAAAAGAAGAAAGGCCTATGACTCATTTTTGGCAGAATGTAAAATAAGCGAGTATGAAAACTAACAGCAAATAAAAATAAAACGTTCAGGCTTTAAAGGTCATTATTTTTGTAGTCTAAGGGGTGTTGCAAAATAAATCATACTTTTTTTCCCGAGAGCATAACAAAGTAAAATAAGATTCTAATTCAACCAAAAAAGTAATTCCAAGTTTCAATATCTCTTGATTGGGCCACCATTGTTCTCACGTACAAGTTTTAATCGATTTGCAAAATATTTCAGCAATGCAACAAACATGTCTGTTTTTATGGCTGTCTCTGTGACACAGGGATGATATATTAACCATGGACCTAATCACCCCAGACAACAATACTAATACGAAGGATTCGTATGATCGAACGATGTATTCACAAACTAATTTTTAAACAACAAAAATTGTTTATAAATTCAAGCATAGCAAATCTTTGTGGTACCATAGCCATAGCTAGGCTACGAGGTCTCCGAGGTCTTAATTTTACACCAACATATAAAAAGTATACAATATGTAAGGCTGGCCTAATGTGCTTGTCGGTGTTTGGACCTCGGTTAAATTTTCACTCTAGTTACCATGAGTACTACTGTTGCCTATTGATACTAAATTATTTCTTTTAACAAATTTTATTTACCCTTTGCAAATATATCTGTATACTTACAATCACTATAACAATTAAATTAAATTAAAACCATCCCTTTTATTCAGGCTAGGATTCAAATTCTTTATTTAGTTTTTACTTGTAACATAAATTTTACAAGTGCTTCCGGACAGGTGAAATCAATAACTGTAAATCAACTTTATGGAAATAAAAGTAGTTTCATATTTTACTATATTTTTGCAAATTTTTCAGCAGCTTTATCTAAGCTTTTAATTATTATTTGATTATTTTCGCCATGCGTACCATTCATTTTTCATGTCTCCTCTTTCAAATTTAACGAATTTAAATAACACTTAATCTAACGAATATTCTAATATCAAACAGTTGTGTATATTAATCCTGGTGAAGCCGCAAAGGCGAAACGTTGGTTGATATAAAAATATATTGTTTTATATTTAGCTGGAGTTGAAAGGTCGTTTTTTCTAAACTTTTATCAACATCTCTCCTCTTGTTGTCGATTTTATAAAGCCGAAAGAGGGCGGTAGAAGCATTTTGTAAGTAAGTGCATACTACCACTAGTCGTTTAGTATTTCTGTGGGTAAGCTTTAAGAACACGAAAGCTTCGTAACATTTTTTTTTCATGCCGTAGAAACAGTTTACCAAACACTATTTTATATAGATATAGTGCATATTTTAATTTTTAATAACACTTATTAACATAAGGTTTTAATGCCGAAAACTGGCGAAGTAGTAGAAAATCAAGTATCGACAAATTAAACTATAGATGATAACTTGTCTATGTTAATAAACACGAGTAATTGTTGTAAAGAACAGAACTACACAATGGGATATCTATCTGCCCATTACAGATATAGAATTCAGAAACCCGATTTTTAGTGTTAGCCTTCAAACTTACTACTGAGCAAGCAGAGAGGAAACAAAGTTATAACAATACTACAGTAAGCCTCCGTTCAATACGTACTTTCTACTTTTGTAGGCTAGAGAAATGTCTTAATAGTAAATAGATTACAAAAAAGTCATTTTATTACATATATAATTAGACCCTGTGGTATTTCATATAGGCCGAACTTTTAAGCCTAAGCTTCTTTTTTTTACTGGTTTTTCTTAATGATATTAGATGTAGTCCAGTAACGCTAATACTAATAGTAGTAATATACCACAGTGTTTTTCTGACCTCTGTACCACTTTAAACTTTTGTTTAAACTTTTTTTTTTTCGAGGTACAAAACCAGGCTGGTTAAAATAAAAACACACTAAAAACTTTGCGACACGTACACAGAAAAGATGTGATTATTTGTATTTCGCACAATTGAAGAATGTGTTGCAAGTTTTGTCAATTTGAAGGGAAGAAAACTGGTGATTCTATACAGGTAGAGGGTGAGTCTAGATCGGATGAGAGTAGTGTGTTTATGTACACAGGAAGATCAAATTAGACTTATTACAAATTTTTTCATGTACTACCAGCTTGAGAATCCCTGGTATAACTTTTTAAATGTAAAACACATTGTCATTATCATACAGAAAACCATAATTACTCAGATATGAGTTTAATAACTATGTATTTAGGGAATGAAATTTCTGCAGAAATGTAAAAAGAGAACCAGTTGTGCAGTGTCAGGAATGTTCATTAGCATAAAACTACACTCAGTATCTCAAACATTTATATTGCTTATATAGATTGACATAGAATGTGAAGGCTGAAGTATTAAAATATATAGAAGACGTACAACTTGAGAGCAAGTTATATTGCAGACTTTTTTTGATTTAACCTTGTCACAAATATCGAATCTTACATGCTCATCATCTTGAGGTCAACCAACAACCTCAAAGTTGTTTTACACTTCATTTAAACATGACATGCAATGCTTAGTCAATTCTCTAGAATATATTTTCTAATATGAGTAGAAAGCCACATAATCATAAGAGTCTATTCTTCTACATAATTGGAATGTTTTAATTTGCTACAAGTGACTTATTATTATTACTTATCACATTGTTAAAATATAAGAAGAAAAATGTTATCATAATTAATTTAAACACACAATTTCTACTTGTTTATAAACTAGCTGAAAATCTACTTTTAAATTTTCTGTGAGAGTTGCTCTGTATATGGTAACACTATTACCATTGGGTTCTTAAGCACACCAAACTTAAAACTTTTAGGTGTTGTCAGTGAGTTTAATGTAACTTATGGATAACAAGGGACCATTTGGTCTTTCAGGATTACTCTTTCTCACCCACCCTTCAGAAAATTTAAACCCACCATTAATGTTCTAGGAAAGCAACAATTTCCTCTTAAACTCCTGTGGTGTGCTGGCATCCATTGCTCTTAGTGGCAACTCATTCCATAAATCAATTACTCTTTGAAAAATATGACTTTTTTTATGCATAAGTGGAGTCTACCCTATCTTTTCAAAATTTTAAACTTGTTCTCTCACATCCTAATATCTTCAGAATATAACACAAAGATATTAGAGACTTTTATTGTGTCAATCCCCAGGATAATCATGTAACTTAAATAAGACATCCTCTTACTCTCCTTTTTTCAAGAGAAATCCAGTAAGTCAGTATACTTTCTTAGATAATGAGACCAAAACTGAAAGCAGTATATTCCAAGTGAGGTCTAATTAGTGATATGTATGGTGAAATAATTATTTCATTTTAACTCCTAAATTGGTGTTCTATAAATGCACTTTGAAATTCTGTTAGCTTTACAACTAACAATAGAGAATGACTTATATACCTATACGTAGTATAAACAAAGGTTATTTGCTAAATATATGTCCAACTTATCAATTGAACCAAATCATTCTGAAACACCTCAACATTTTTAATAAAGTTAGAAGTACAAGAGTTTAATTTCAACAGCAAACTTTACTTATTACACACAAGCTGAATTGTCTCCATTAATAATAAATTTTTGCTTTCTCCCATCCAACCAGCCTAAAATCTATCTCCAACTATCACCAATGTAATTTTCTTAGCTAGTGATTTATGTGCAACCTTATCAAAAGCTTAATGATAATCTAAGAACACCAAGTTCACACACTTTCCCTCATCCAGATAACAAGTAACATCTTTGAAAGAAAAAAAAGATAACAAATTTGCAAGGCAAGACTTTCTATTGTGAATCCATGTTGGCTTTCACTTAAGAAATTGTATTTCACTAAATGATTTTGTAAAAGCTTCTTTTATCAGACTGTCTAGAATTTTAACCACTAAAGAAGTAAGACTAATTGATCTATAACTTCCAGGGCAACACCTCCTTTAAAATAGGAATAACATATACAACTCTCCTATCCTCATGTATTTGACCCCTCTCTATTGACCTGTATATACCAAAAGTGAAAGGCCTGTATATCCAATCTTTTACATCAGTAAGTTCCAATGTATCCCATAGAATGCCACCAGTATCCTTTAAGAGTTCAAACATTCTGCCTACTTTTACTTAAAAAGAACCTTGCTGTCAGTTTTAATGTTATCAGGCAGCTGTTTTTCAAACGTCCTTTTGCATTTCACACTTGTTTTAATTCAATTCTCAGCCTTTTCTGTAGTTCTATATACTTTCCAGTCTATCTGGCAATTTAAACTTAATTATATTACTATCAATAAAATTACTGTCAAACTCGTTACACCTCAAAAACATAATAATTTGAGTTATTTCATCATGTAGCATAGAAGAACTGATTGAAATTCTGTAAGATGTTTAATAAATACATTAGCTAACATCACTTTAGTGACAAAACTGTTAAAATGAGCATAATGCCTCGGCAAGATCAGTTTACAATATATATTCACCAGTTCTAAAAATGTGTTACTGATTATATACCAGATTGCCTAAAATAGCAAACTGGATCTTGATCACATTCCGCTGTGAACTCTTTATTTGGATGCTTTTTATTAAAATATTTATAAACAATCATTAACACCATGACTGTGACTGATAACAGTAATATATCATCTACATACTTTCTTTAATAGAAATTTAAAAGTCAGGGGACTTCTTTTCAACTATTATTTTTCAGGAAACCACAAGAATAAATTGAATATAGCAGGTGTAAGCCTTGAACCCAATACTGTTACTAAATATACTAACTTCATCATAAATTATTCTGTTAAATACAAATGCTCTGTTGTGATTGTTATCTTGTCTGTGAAATTATGATGTTCTGTGCTCATATTTTTGTTTATGAGGCAAGAAAGTCTTGCTGTTCTCAACATCATGAAATTGCTGACACAAATCAACTGAACTCAGACTTTTCAGTTGCTATGTATTCACCCAACATAGATCATTTATGTGCACTGTTTATTACAGCATAAAGTAATATGAATCCAAACCAAGGCAGGTTAAGAACAGTAAGACACATTTACTATCATAGACACCTACCCACAGCAGCAGTTGAAATATTACCATATCACACTGCTATCAATGCTGACCAACCCTCTAGAGGAGACAGCATCATAGAGAAAAAGAAATAAGGCAAATTCTAGTGAAAAACAAAGAGCTTTTCTGCTATGATCTATTGAAGACCAATTCATCTGATCAATAACATAACCTTTTTGTGTACATTCAGAAGTTGTGTAGATTTCTTATACCTGAAGGTATGATCTTGTCTATAGATGCTGCTCAACACATACAAAACTCAGTCAGTGGTTTCCTTTATGAAAACTCTGCTAGTGTTTCCCATAACTTTTCTCTTGGGTGGTTGGAAAGCAAAAATTGCAAAGTTCTTTCAGCTCACCAATACATTAGAATTTCTAGTGATAATTTCTAGTCATACCAGTTCTTAGTGTTCTAAGCATTGCATCAGTTTTTTTAGCAGTACTATAATCCATTGCTATCACACAACCTTGTAGGTATTATACAATGAAAGACCACTTCTTTTCAGCTGTCAATATATTGATCAACTGACATTTCTAACTGATGATCAGCCCAGCCATAGTGATCAGGAAGTTAGTGTCTGAATCTGAATAAATTGTTGGAGCAGTCATGCTGCTTTTCCACTACTAGTTACTGATCAGTCTTCTCTAGGTCACCCAAATAAGTGTACTGCCACCATCTTACTTCTCATCAGCTGAGTCAAGATACTAACTACAGTTCTTTCATTATCATCTTTTATGCCAATCTCCTTGACCTCTTAAGTGCAAAAGTGATTTATCAGAAATGTATGGCTTCATCTTATCAGTGTGTTCAGTATGCTGTAAATCATAGTTTGATGGATTGAACTGTCTGAGTACAAGATTTGAAGTAGTGAAGATAGAACTAAATTGTTTTCTGTGGCAGGAACATACCAGTTTTGTTACTCATACATTTTTCCTCCACTGTGATGTGATATATTTCACCAAATAGAAGTTCTATGCAGCTGGTGATGCAAAACATTTGTGTGCATGAACAAATGCAGACCTAAACTACTCCACATGTTCTTGTGGATATTATGATACATCTGCAGTGGGAGGTGGATCATACATCACATCCACTAAAGTTGTATTTCTCTGCCAACATTAGTATGTTTTGGCAAACAACCATTTGACTCTTGCTCTGTTGCATGATGTGCTATTATGAAATATGATAATATGTAACTCTGTAATACTCACTATTTCAAACCATCAGACTATGAGTGATATGAAGTACACATCCTCACTATATCCAATACTGCACTCACTTCAAAAATACTTGACTGTTAAAATTAGCTCTTTGGTCTTTGTGGATTCATCAAGCTGCTTCAAACCATACTATCTACTGTTCAGCTAACACAGCAGATGAAAATTGTGCTAATATATCAACCAGTGGATGAGCTTCACACCACTTACAGATGTAGTTGATAGTGCTGATTACTTCATTCATTCCCCAGGAGGCAACCAGTTATATCCAGGGTTATTCTCTACAAAGACAACCTACAGTTTTCTGCCAAAGATTTTCCTGACTTTTTCAGTGTCAAGATAAGAATGTTGCCAAAAAAATGCTTTTACACATTAGCACAAATCTAGGAAATGCTCTGATGATTTCCAGTCCTTGCATTATGTAAAGTCTGAAAGCTTCTGCTTAGTTCTTTGGGCTACTAACTGCATCACAGATCAAAATCCATACCCATGTGGCTTACGGCATCAATACAACACTTCCCTACACTCATAACTACCATAGATTAATTGCATCTGACTTACATTTCTCTGTCTGTGATTTGTACTTCACTTTACTAAATGGTAAGCACTAAGTAGTGTTGAATACAGACCTGGGTCTTTCAGATGCTCTTCCTAGAGCTCTTGAAGTGCCATTTTTAGAGTTCATTTACTGTTGGGATCATCTCATACTTTTGGTTGGCAGTCAAGTCATAGTTCTACAATAGTTTTATCCAACATATAACCAATGCTTCCAGATTTATGAAATTCACAAGCCATATCAGTAACTTACTGTTCACATGAAAGGTAAACTTCCTACCATACAAGTAGTGACAGTAATTCAAGACAAACAGTAAAACTGCAAACAGTTTTTGTCATGCAGTATCAGTGATAAGGAACCAACAGACAATGTATCACTGTTTTACACAATTATATTCACTTTATTCTGCACCTGCAACAAAATCATGCCAATTCCATTATCACTGGAATCTGTACTCAAGAGGAATGGACTGTCTTGGAAAAATAACACTGGAGCCTCAAGTAAAGCATTGTCTAGTGACTAAAATACATGGTTACATTCTATAATTAACCTAAATTGCATTTCAATGTCAGTGCAGACAACAGTATGACTTTCTAGGAGAAATTGGCCACAAAAAGTTGATGATATGATGTTAAACCTAGGAAACTATGGATATCTCATTCTGTCACAAGTTTGGACCAGTCTTTGACAACTGTGACATTCACAGAATCAATATACACTGCTCTTATCTACAGTGTGATTGAAGAATTACACTTGTGTGCTCATAAATGCACACTTCTCTGATTTCAGTTTCAAGGCTGGCCTTTATCTGCTGAAGAACCATGTGCAGTTGAGAGGAAAAGCACATACTGCTGCTAAGGAACAAGTGTAATAGGGGTCCTTGGGAATAACTGGCCACTTACTGGTATTCATTGTGACTATACAGTAACACTGGAAGATGCTTGTGGCAGGACAGCCTTGTGATGAGCACTTCAAGAAGTCATTTTGTTTGAGGTGGAACTACTGCAGCTTAGCTACAAGATTCTTCGTGTTCTGCAGCTAGTTCAAAGTGACCACTTCAGGCCTAGTTGTCACAGAAATGGCTTCTGTTGAATAAAATGTCTGTAACACCTGTGAACTGTTTTTCTTGGGAAACCTTTGAAGAACTTTTCTACAGGGATATCTTCACAATGTGTGTGTAAAGTGGTGGGATATACTTCCTTGTGTGGGCGATGCACATCATCTGGAAAAATGACGAGGTTCTTGTGAGTTTCTCTCTTTCAAGCTTTGAACATGGTATGATATATAGCTTACTTCCCTACTGGTTTGAAATGTTGATGCTACTCACCCACAGCTGTGTTACAGTCCCGGTGATGCACCTTGTCTATGCATTATTGAGTTAAGCACTTCATCTTCCAAACTCAGCATTAGACAGCATGCTTTCTGTTTTTGATATCATGCATTTCAGAAATTAATCTGCCTGAAGTGCTTAATGAAGCTATTTAGATTTTCCTTCACTGTATACTTGTCCTGTTTAATTTTACTGCCAAAGATCTGTGACTGTGTGAGCAAATCACTTCCAGTGGCATCTCAATCAACACACATCAGAGAATTCCTTGACATGATGGGTACTGCCCTGTATTTGTTTGACATGGCTGTGTGTTGTGATAACAAACATGCTATAGCCAGCTCTTCATGATCTCATAGTTTTACACAATCCCTACCACTTCTAGTAGCAAATTTCTTCTCTTGAGGAGGCTCACACCTTCTCCACGAGTCACTCTCCTGGAGGTGCTTGTTGTTTCATCTGGTGGTGAGACAGCTCTGGCTGATGACCTATAATCTTCAGCAGACTTCTATTGTCCTTCTAGCAACAGGTGACAATGACTGGTGGTGAGGGTTGAACTCCACTGATGTGAGTACTCTACAAAGACCTCCAGACCACAAGTCACCAAGATGACCCTCACTTTTCTCTGTTTCTACTTGGTGAAGTTTAAAAGTTCAGTGACAGAATGAAATCTCTAGCTCAAGAAGCCACAGGTTACTGTCCATAGGTATTCTATGAACTATAAACTTCTTGTGTGTTTGAGCATAGTGAATGAATAAAGTGTAAAAGCTCTGATAATAGAGGTAACAAATCTCCAATTTTATGGTTGAAAAAGGCTTTATTTAATTATTTCATCAAGCTCAAACTGTTGATATTTTTTTAGTGAGAAGATCCTATATTTAATATGACACACTTCATTTTCCATAAATATTTTCCATTAATTTTTCAATTACTACCATTTGGTATTACACCTATACAAAATCCCAAGAATTTAATTGAACTAATGTGTGATTAGGTAGCATTTTTGATGTGATTTTTAAGGAACTTTTGTAAGTTTTTACATGGAATTTGTGGTGATATTATAGGCACCAATTTTGCAATGAAAGTTTATTTTACCTAACATACTAGCAAACATTTTAAATAGACATTTTGTTAGTGATGAACATCAAACCTTTGCCACAGAAAGCTAATTCTTTGAAGCTACTTTCCATTATAAAATTAATTCTTAGCTTGATGTTAGACATACAACTAATTTGTACAAGTTTACATTTAATAACAGCTATTTTAGTTTTAAAAATACATGTAGACCTAAAGTTTATTATCATGATTTACTGATTGAGAGTCAACCTGTTTTTATTCCCTTTGGTAGTATATCATCAGGGTATATATATATTTTTTTTATCTGTGCAGCATAAACATACTTTAGTTTGTAAAATTAGGATTCTTTAATTTAAGCTGTTCTAGTTTAACAAATTTAGCTGTTCAATGAGAAGTTGTACTAAATTTAATAGTGTTATATCAGTTTTTATTAGTGGGCAAGTTCTATAGAGTTATTTGGTTAAAAATGCAAAGTCCTGTACACTTGATAAAAAACTTTTTTTCTGCTATATCTTTTATGGAAGTTTGATGCTCACTGTTGGGCTAAAGTTCACTTTAGATGTTAACAATTTTACTTACTATCTTCTCTTGTACATACAACACTTGATTATTTTTTATCTATTTCTTCATTGACACAAACTGAACTAAATTGTTGATAATAACAGACAGCTTGACTAATTATTAGTCACTAATAAACTTGCCAACTTAATAATTATCATTCAGTGTAACAGAACCACAAATTAGTCATCATTTACTCCAGCCAAATTTGCTCTTTTTATTGCTGAAATTGTTTCCTCAGACTTCAAGGTTCTAGCAATTAAGCCATGCACATTTCCTGACACCAAACCCTCCTTCTGGTGAAACAATGATATTAAGATCTAAAAGCATAAATTATAAAACATAGCTTACAACAATAAATTCATTAAAAGTCATGTACCATACTATTCTCTTTCATACAAATGTCAACAAACCACTTTCTTTAGAAGATTTATGAATTGTATGGAATAATATGATATTAGTAAATAAAAATAATTCAAAGTTTTCTTACTTATCTAAAGTAATAGACTGAAGAGACTTGCCATCTACTGCTTTAGTCAGTACCAATTTTTTTTTTATTTCAGAAGATAAAGATCTGTACTTTGGCGAATTGTTCTTAGTTCTTACTAGATAGTAGGGTGGGCGGTATAATAAAGGAGGGATGTATGTGTGTGTAGATAGTGAGTTAATTGAACTGCAGTCAGAGA